TTTTCCCCAAAAGCGGCGGTATCGTCGGGGAGATTGGACAATGTTCGAAACGTCGTCGTCATTTGAAGACGGGCATACAGTCGAACGAATTGTCAAGCGAAAGCAGCCACGGCGATTCAATCGAATCCTCAACGCGTAATACCGCACGGAAGGAACTCGGGACGATTGTTGCATCTCTGTACCGTGTGCAAAGGCAATTCCGCAAAACTCAGGACGATGTGTTCACGGTGCAAGAATTTGCCAATCGTGTTCGACCTGCATCATTCTTTGCATACACTAAAACACAGGTGTCAAACGCAAGGCCCGGGGGCTAGATCCGGCCCGCCACATCATTTTATGTGGCCCCTCGAAAGAAAATCATGCGTGTCAACTTGCATGATCCTTGCTAAAATGTGCACCGAAATGTCAAATTGTCACGTGTAATAAACAAACGAGATTTTGTAATCCTGTTTACACTCGCTTCAACTACAATTGAACAAACTCTTATAGTTGACTGATTTTTAAAAAAAAAAAAAAAACTAGTAGTCCAATCATTTGCTGTGTGTAAATAATTATGTGACGAGACGATTAAAAATATTTGCGGTTTCGACGGGCCTTTGAGGGAAGATGTCATTCCGAAGTGGCCCAGAGACAGAAATGAGTTTGACACCCCTGCGCTAAAAGACGAGGCGTTTCTCGTTCAAGCTGAGAAACCTGACTGTTGGTCGCAAACCATCTTGACCTTTGACCTTTGTGGCTGTGACACGTTCCCCGAAAACTTGCTTTTGTGCCTTTTTGGCTCCCAGGCGGCTGGGTGTTTGATGAGCGTTCCTCAGCTTTCGCCGTCTGCGCATTGCCGTTGATGCCATTTTTTTTTTTTTTTTGAGAAACAGGTTATAAAATTCCAGTTCTGGAGAATCTGGGGGCCACTTTGGACCAGTTTGACACAGTGGACTTCTCGGACAACGAAGTTCGCAAACTGGATGGCTTCCCGCTCCTCAGACGCCTCAAGACCTTGCTGATGAACAACAACAGGATCTGGTGAGACACGCCAAGACTTTGCTTGCAGTATGTGTGCAGGAGAGAGGAACATGATTGAAGTCAGCGGAATGCCCAAATTTTGCAACTTTGACAGTCAACGAGCGAGTGCCGCTCGATGACGAGTACTGCGCTTCAAATCTCTTCAATTGTCTGTCATCGCTCTCCTGCGGGGCGCCTTCGTCGCCGCTTTTACGTTGGTCGGCTTTGTGGAAATGGGGGAGAAAGTTAGTGCCGCTGACGCCCAAGTGGCCGGTCGAAAGGGCAAATCCTGCCGCCGCGCAATCGTGGCAACTGACTTGCCTTGGCTTTTGTTGCTGTGCGCAGTCGCATCGGAGAGAACCTGGAGCAGAGTCTTCCCCATCTGCGAGAACTTATCCTGACCAACAACAACATCCAGGAGCTGGTGAGTCACACTCGGCCCAGGGTGAGGAGGGATGTCGCGGAGTCTCCGCCCGCCCCGGCGTGCGCTTTGAGCCGACCGGCGCCTTGACCCGAAAACGCGAGCCTCTGCGAGCACGCGTGAGCAGGGGGGAAAAAAAAAACTTCCGCTTGAGCCCACTTGTGGAAGAGTTTGCCAAGCAACATGAGCCCAAACACCGAGAAAGGAGAAGGCGACGAGTGCTCCTTGAAAGTTCATGCCCCCACCAAAAAAAGAGAATCATTGCAGTCCTAATCAGGAAATGAGTTGTCATCAACTCATGCTTTGTGCATTTATTATTTTTTTTATCTTAAAAATCATCAATTTGCAGCACGAGTCAATACCAAGTTTGTAGTTTGGGAGGCATCGGGCCGGCCGCATTGCGTCATTGACATCGTGAAAGACGGAATATCGGGCGACGTCGACGGGGGGTGTTGAGCCGTGCCCCGAGGTGGCGGAATGCCGATTGCGCCGGTGTGTTTCAGGGCGACTTGGAGCCGCTGGCGTCGGTGAAGACCTTGACTCTGCTCAGGTGAGAAGCGCGATGCCGGCGAAAGCCGCGCGGTCGGCCGCCGGCCGGGGCCGACCCTCGCCC